ACTATTACCAATGATAATGCTTTGTTACTGGTCATCTAAGAACATGCGCACGAAAACACATTCCGAACGTCGAGCTTACGAGTTTAATGCCACACTAATAACTATGATATACTATATGCATCCACTAAATGAGCTAGCTAGTGACACAAGTATGAATACATGTAAAATATTACTATGTACTGCTTAAATAGGCATCATAGAGCGACTAAGGGTTCTGCATCTCTGAGCTCACACACCCCTTTAGCCTTTCTAAAATACCTTTGGGTATATTGGGTGAGATCTGAAGCTGCATCAGAAACTTACACCCGTCCAGCTTACTCCATCGAGTCTTGGAGCATATGCGCCCAATCGGCTACTGAAGTGTCTTGGCAATAACTGAGATATCCAACTGACTATCGTATTATGATTAAGAGACTTAGATGTCATTTTTATTTCCCGAGCGTCAAACAAGGCTAGTTTTATGTTATCCTAATTATTATTGTTTCTAGTTATTCTAAGTTTATTACTATTCTTACATGTAGTTCTATCTACTAACATTCTGATGTCATTGGGCTCCTCAAGTCTAATCCCTTAATCATTGGATTATTTACCCAAAACTGTCTACTGGTATTGATGTTGGCCCTTTAGTATCGATACTGACTACTGAGTTATGCTGATAAGGGGGAATAATATCGATATTCTAGTGTTGGGGTATCGATACTGGTCTGAATATCGATACCAAAATTAGGTTCGGTGTTTTAAAAAATATCTCAGTATTGATATCCCTATTGAGGGTATATGTACTGGTATCGATACTCTCACAAGTATCAGTACCGAAATTTCCTACTAGAATCTTCTAAGTGAACTCAGAATCAATACCACTATATGAGTATCGATACCCTATCTACAATATTGATACCCATTGAAGGAGTATCGATATTTTTGTCTCAAAATTCATTTATTTTTAGCGTCTGAAGAATAGTATCAGTACTATTCTTATAGTACCGATACTCGTGCCCAAAAATACCTTGTTTTGGGCACAAAAAAATGCTAACTTTCCTACTTGGTCCCAACTGTTATTAAAGTCTTATTATTGTTATAAGGGATCATAATAGGTCTTTTAACATGCTGAAAACATCAAAAGATTCAATTTATAATGAACATGTTTCATAACTCATGCAACCTACCAAAACTTATCTAATGGTCTACATGTGGTAGAGTTGAGTTTGAAGTGTGTAACCTTTGATTTCTAAGCTACTGTAAGTGTCCAAGGCTCAACCCAAGGTAAGTTTTTCCTTTTACTTTCTCTTGGAGCTTTCTCCAACTTCTCTCACTAAGCGAAAATCAACATATAGATTAGTAATGTTGTTGAGAAGTTTAGGAAGGAATTTGGAACATCTCTTAAAGTTTAATTCTTTCAAAAATGGGTTGGTTTTCTATGGTTCTTTAAAACCCCTATTAAACCCACATTTTGGGAGCCATTAAGAAATGAAGAGGTTGAGAGCTTGAATTGAAGTGATGGGGATGGAGATTATGATTCTTACCTTGCCTTGGTAAGACTACCTGAGGAAGCCACTAAAGATTCTACCTTTGTGCTACTCTTGGAGAGGAAAAGAGTGATGAGGAATGGAGAAAGAAGACACAGGAGAGAATGGTGAAAAAATAAGGGAGACAACGTGAGATCATACAAAATTATGGGTTTTCAACTTTTGAAAATGGTATAATTACCCTTTTGGTCACTGAAGATTTGATCTCATTTTAAAAAACCCATTTGTCACATGTTTAGGCCAAACTCAAGCCTAAATGAATGCTCACTTAGCCCAAGCCTATATGAATGCTCACTTAGCCCAAGCCTATGTATAAGGTTAATGGATTCATCTAAAACACTTTCAGGTCAACCCGAAACTACTAATTCGGGATTTGGGGCCTTACAGAGATTAAAAAATTAGGCCTCAAATTTAAAGTAAAAGGTGAGATTGAAAAAATTAAGGGCCTAAATTATATAAGTTAAAAGTGGGATTGAAAAAATTATGGCCTCAATTATAAAGGTAAAAAGTGATATTAAAAAATTAGGGGCCGTAATTATAAATGTAGAAAGAGAGATTGAAAAATCAAGAGCTCAATTATAAAGTTACAAAGTGAGATTGAAAAACTTAGGATCGTCAATTATAAATGTAAAAAGGTATGATTGAAAAAATTAAATACATCAATTGTAAAGATAAAAAGTAGGATTACAAGAATTAGAGGCATCAATTATAAAGATAAAAAAAATTAAGAAAAGAACTCAATTATAAAAATAAAAAATATAATAGAAAAATTAAGGAGCCTATAAAAGATGGGAGCTCTGAGCGATCACTCAAGGTGTATCCCTAATAGTCGACCCTGTTAATTTTATGTGACTTATTAATATCTTGTTGGTCGAAAAATAAATTTTTAACTAAATATATTAAGACTTAAAATAATTAAATATAATAGTTTAAATATTTAATTTGACCAAAAAATAATTTAAGAAAAAAACAACCTAGACACTCATTTTTACATTAAACTTTAAATATATTATAAATAAATGATTTAAACAATATATTATTATAATAATCGTTAATAATAACACATGTCACATGTGAGCAGTCATATTATGTTGGATTAATTAGTATCAATATATTTACATGTGAGTACCAAAACCCATGTTTCATAAAAAATAAATGGGTCTGCTATTGCTGCACCAGTAAAGATTCTTATCCCCTACCAAAGTAGGACCAAAAACAAGATCACATGCCATGGCCAATCAAATAATTCTACCATGATATGTTTGACTGTTCACAGACAAGATTGACACTGAGCCGCTTTACATCGTATGATTAGTACGGGCATTATCGTCGGAAAAACAAAACCCATTATTGGTTTCCTGTATGAACTTTGATTAATTTGGTCCTGTGGCTGTGTGTTTGATCTTTCTCCTTCATGTCCGAAACACCCAATTCGCTGTTTCTCACTGCTTGCCTGAAACTTCCATGGCAATCTCCAAAGACTCGTTAATTTGCTATCAGACAAAACACCAGATGTCTACAACTTACCCTTGTAGTATAAAGATGATTGCATTTACAGACATCTGGCTGGATGCCTCGTAATTGACGGTTTAGGGTCGAAAGATGTTTGCATGTTGCCTTTGATTAGTTTTTGGAAGTTATCGTTATCCATGTTTTAGACTCTTTTTTTCGATTTTGGTTTTCATTTGTTACTTTTCAATATATTTTTATGACTTTTGGTTCCTCTAGAATTTGTTCAGTTTTCTTGCAACAACTATTGTTGTTTCTTACGTTTCATTTTTATAACAAAGTCATTTGTTAAATTAATATTATGACTAATAAAAAATAGTGAGTGTTAGACAATGATATCAATAGATAAATTTGTGGTAATTAAAATATTTATATCCTACTCCCAAATGAAAGAAATGAGGAAACAATTATCTTTCATGGAGATTCTTGAAACTACAAAAGTGTGCAAATAAAGATAGTATTTTATTTAAAGTTTGCATTTAAAAATATTTTAGTGTAAGTGAGATGCTTTATATTACAACCAATTTGGTTTCTTAAAATTGAAAGTTGGTTGATTGATAAGAAAACAGATGCTGAAAGGGGGGCCTTTACATACCGAAATCTACCACCACAAATTGAGGTATTCTATTGGACGTAGGATTTTAAGTTATGAGTAGTTTTAAATTTATAGAATTTTGGAGGAAGAATTTTTATTTATAAAATTCTAAAGAGATGAAATCAAAATTTTAATAAAAATTTAAAATATATATATGATAATTTTAAATTTTTAAACCGTTAGGTGAATGGGTATATTTTGACGTTTGATGTTTGATTACTGATGTTTGCCATTGAGGTTTTGCTTTTGGAAAGCATTATTTGATTGGGGCCTGAGAGAAAGAGATGCATGAATGGCTTCCGCCCTTCTAGTGAGCCTCTTCAGCTCTAAACTGAGGCCCATGGAGGCCATTATATGCTCTTTGAATTTATTCTTCTGGTGGTTCAGATCGTCCCACCTCATTTTTTAAGTTATATATATATATATATATATTTTAAAAATATTTAATCAAGTAGTTTTGAAATATATATTTTATAAAAAATTAAAATAATCATAATTAAAGTTTAAAAATTTTGACTTTTAAAAAATCAGTAAATGACATTTAATGGGACTGAAACAGTATTGAAGTAAAAAAAAATTACTAGCATGCATGTGTCTAAATTGCTTAATAAGAAATAAGAACAAAAATGATAAACGATTAATGATGAAGCAATCCATGTGATTTTAGTCATTGATGTAATGAGAAGAAGTTTTGCTTAACATCGTGGTAAAGGGCCAATCTGGTGTAGTTGCCCCATTGCTTTTTTATTGCCCTACTTTCAAGAATTTCAGTTTTAACGTTGTAATAAAGTTACTACCAACCACTAAATGTCCCACACTAATCTGATATTTTGTCATTATTTATTACCAAATCTCGAATTCCGTTAATTAAGATATTAGCTTTAATTATTCGAATATGCATAATTAATAATTTCCATGCTTTATCATAAATATGATAAAGCACCAGCGTTACCTTCACCTTCACACTTCCATACACCTTCACCGTCATTAGTACCAACATCGACCCTCGATTAAATCTCCGTTAAAATTTCATCGTAATATGTTATTGTTTGTCTTAAAAAATATTCAAATATTTATCGGATTTTAAGTTACCGTTTGCCGTAAAAAAATGTCACCGTGTGATATTTTGATTTTCGTAAATGTAAACGTAAATCCATTGATTTAGATGTTAAATGGAGGCTGATTTAATCTCTTTTCTTTTGTATATAAGCTGATATAATCTTATAAAAGAAAAAGGAGATGAAAAGCATGCCACCTTGCTGATCCACCATTTGTCTCCACCTCATCCATGACCTAAAACACGTGTCATTCTGCCATGATATAATGAATGGTGATGATAAAATCCCCACCCTCGCCTCCCTATTTAGTATTTACTTCCACATCTCAGAATTCTCTGCGATTCACATAGTTTTAAGTGCTTCTCTTCACAGAGACAGAAAACAAATAAGCTCTCGTCAATGGGGGTGGTAATGATCTTAAGCTAATATCTTTTTGGTTTTCAATGTATATTTACTTGGATTTGGATCTTATTTGTGTTCCGGGCTTCTATTTGTTTAACAGGAAGAAGATAAACCTGCAGAGGAGAAGAAAATGGAGGAGAAAGAACCTGAGAAAGATGGAAAGAAAGTAGAAGAAGCTGCAGCTAAAAAGCCAGCAGAGGAAAAGAAAGGTGAAGACACTAAGGAGGAAATGCCGCCGCAAGAGATCATCTTGAAGGTTTACATGCATTGCGAAGGCTGTGCCCGGAAAGTTCGCCGCTGTCTCAAGGGCTTTCAAGGTTTAAAACATAAAACCCACAAGGATTTGGCTTCATTTATGTTTATTTTATTTCGATTTTGATGGTTTTTTGTTGTTGTTGGATTTGTAGGGGTTGAAGATGTAACGACGGATTGCAAGAGTAATAAAGTGGTGGTGAAAGGAGATAAAGCCGATCCTTTGAAAGTTCTCGAGAGAGTTCAAAGGAAGAGTCATCGGACGGTGGAGCTTCTTTCACCGATTCCGAAACCACCGATGCCGGAGGAGATAAAGGCAGAGGAAAAAGAGAAACCCAAGCCTGAAGAGAAGAAAGAAGAGGTCAGTCTCTTTCTCAAACGACGTGTTTAATACATCTATGTTTTTCCACATATATCTGATAAAGTTATGGTTTTTATTTTCTCCGACGGTGAATTTTGCAGCCGGCGCCGACCACGGTGCTTCTGAAAGTTCACATGCATTGTGAAGCTTGTGCTCAGGAAATCAAGAAAAGGATTCAAAGAATGAAAGGTTTGTTCATTCAAAGATTCTATGTAGCTATGAATCGAATCTCGAGTAATATCATCATTAATTTACAGTAAAAAGGATTGTTTTAATGTGTTATTTTTCAGGGGTGGAATCAGCTGAACCAGATCTAAAGAGCTCCGAGGTGACGGTGAAGGGAGTGTTCGAACCACCGAGACTGGTGGAGTACGTGTATAAAAGAACCGGGAAACACGCTGTGATAGTGAAGCAAGAGCCGCCGCCGGCCGACAAGAAAGAAGAAGGAAAAGAAAAACCCGACGATGGCAAGAAGGAAGAGAAAAAAAGTGGAGGAGGTGAAGGCGGTGAGAAACTGAAGAAAGAGTCCGGCGCTGAAGAGGAGAACAAAGATAAAAAGGACGAAGGTGATGAAACCAAGGAAGACCAAGCAGCGGCCGCGGAAGAAGCGGCGGAGGAGACGAAAGTGGCGGTGGAAGTGAAGAAAAACGAATACTATTACTACCAGCCAAGGTATGTTACGGAGTTTTATGCGTATCCGCCTCCGCCTCAGATCTTCAGTGATGAGAATCCTAATGCTTGTACCGTCATGTAAAAACAAGGAAGATTGAAGGGCATTATAGGGGATAAAAAAAGAAAGAAAGAAAAGAACATTGAGCCGTCTTGCTCTTCACCGTGTCCCCCTTCATTGTACTGTGTAAGCTCTGCCTAATGGCTGTAATATTATTGGGGAAAAAGGGGTATAATCTACAGAATTATCTGTAGAATTTTGTTAGAGTTGTACTTTTTTTATATCATATAAATAATGATAAATCGTAAGATATAAATTTCAAATTATTTCCTACATTTTCCCTACTGTTCTTGGTGTTTCTAAAGTTGTCCTTTTTTACATAGAAACGTGACAATTTCATTTATTTTGTAAACTCTGAAATTTATTAGTCTACATATAGATATGAGATATTTAACCATAGTTTGTTTTTTATGTACAACAACAATCGTTATAATTTAATGGTTTGTGATTTAATATATAATTATATTCTTTTTCATTTATGTTTCCATAAAATTCCTAAAATATAATTAATTATATTTTATGTTTCCATAACTGTATGCGTGCTCGTAAGTTAACAACGTTTGAATTCAAATGTTTTCTTTATAAAGATGTCATGTAATTCTAACATGTTTTAGGTACTATAGTAATGATCTCATATAGAAACTAATTTTTATGACTCCTTGTATGAGCAAATTCCTTTTCTAACTATGTTATGTAAGAAAACATGTCGTCCTCAAACCATTAGGATATATATTTAATTCAGAGATAAATTTCAAAATATTTTATATTAATTTAGAAAAGAATAAAATTATATTTCACATATCATAATATTAAAGTTTAATATAATAATTATCCAAATTATACCAATATCTCTGAATCAATCCGGGTGTATGTTATAAATGTTATCATTTTTAAGCACTCTATCAATAATTACGGTTAAAAACTTCGTTAAATGACATGTGTCACATTTTGATAATTTTAAAAATTCTACTTATAAAAAAAATTAAGATATTAATATATTTATAAAGGAAAACTTATTTTTTTAAAATTATAAAAAACCCAAATTCCTAAAAATCTTTTAAATCAACTCTAAAATTTGTAACCCTAACCTTACCATTTCTCTTACCGATTATGATCACCGTCGTCGATACTGCCATTGACATCTCTCTTTTGGGTGATTATCACCCTTGCAGTCTCTCACACCGTCAAGTCTTGTGGGTCGCGCAAATAATAACATTTGTAACAACTGGTTTAAATCACGATTGGGATTTATATCACAATCCGGGTTCATCGGCGGCTGGCCGTTAAGCGGAGACAATATCAAGTTAGGTTCGATAGGAGGCAAAGGCCGACGACGATGGGCATCAAGTGGAGACAATATATTTTTAAGTCTTTTTTTAAATAAAATTTTTAAAATTACAAGAATGTGACATATATCACTTAACATAATTTTTTACACCCATTATAGTCGGAACACTTAAAATGATAACGGTTGTAACGTTGAATATATGAATTAAATGAAAAATAGTTTAAACACCTAAATGGAAAATGATATAGTTTGAGCACTTCTTTACATTAACCCTAATATTAATAATTTTTAATTATAACTTTTTAAATTTTTCATAAGTGAAATTGATTGTTTATTAGTATTCAAATAATACTAACTTGGCATGATGATGATAAATACACGAGAAAGAATGATACTTTACGTTTTCAATTATTCCATCAATTATAGTTTTTCTATTAATTTATGAGAGTTATATTTATATATGATTTAAATATCTAAAATACACAATAAATATTACAAAAATGAATTCAATTTAATTTATTTTTCTTTATAAAATCACATATTAAATAAAAATATATTTTTCAAACAATTAAAAAAACATATTGAAAGTTTTTAGTACATTAAAAATGTTCAATATTTTATTAAACTCGGCGTTAATTTCTCAAAATGATAAAAAATTGTTTTAAGTACGTTTTTATAGTAAATTTTTGGAACAATTTGTTATGATTTTGTGAATATATTTTATAGGTATTTCCTTCAAAACTTCAACTTCCGATAAGCTTAATGGTTCCTTGGGAAACTTCTATTTCCTTTCCACACAACGTCATCTGTTATTTCTACATGGGAAAATCGAGGAGTCAAAATAAATTTATTTAAATTTAAATTCGTTTAATTTATAGTACTTTCAATTAATTTATTTTTAAATTGGTAACAAAATAGACTTAAATTATATAAAAAAAAACAAGCTAGACTTTTCCTTTTAGAGGTTATTGATTCAAACCTCTTAAGTATAGTTGTAGATTTTTCTCAATTATTTTAAATAAACATCAAATAACTCGTTTTAACTTGTTAATAATTCAATTAAATTCAATCTTAAATTAAATCATTTCGAATTGAATGTAAACCAAACTCAATTAAGTTGTGATTTTGTTTTATTTACAGACCTAATTATGCAGCAAAGATTGTGCAATCTGTTGGGGCCATGCAATGATAATCATATGACAATAAACTTTTGACTTTGTTTTGTATGTTCGAACCAAGTAATTTCAGTAGTTAAATAGGTAATTATTATCTTTTAAGGTTTTAAGTTCGAATACAACGTTGTAAAAATGTATAAGCTTTTGTTATTAGAAGATTAAAAAATTTTCGAACATATATTAGTTTGTAATCATCTCATCTACTAAAAAAAATACTTCGTTTTGCTTGGTAGATGGAAATGAAGGAATTACAATTTTTAACATGGTTGAATAATAAAGAAAGATTATAAATTTTAGGGTAAAGTGCTTAATGAGTTTTTTTAATTAAAGAAGGGTTTAATTAAGAATATTACTTTTTTTTAAAAAAACAATATGAATTTCTAAAAATTTTGGGATGCCAAATTAATATTTTTAAATATATTATTAATAAATTTATAAAAAAAATATTTAAATTATAAAAGAATTCAATATTTTAAAAAAATTACTAATTCATTCAATTTATAATTACGTATCTGAGTATAGACAGAAGGACATCTATCCAGGGTCCTATATTTGAGTTCACATACAATTACAAAAGACTAAATTTGAGTTCATATGCTATATAATACATTGAGATAGATGAATTATTTTATATTAATAAGATGGTTTTATAAAATTTTGGTTTGAGGGTTATTTTTAGCTCTGAAATAGATATAATTTATTATTTTTGTCCCTATGATTTTTTGCGTCAATTTAACTCTCGAAATTGTTTAGGGTATTCATCCTAGTCATTGAAGTTCGTTTTGACTAAAAGAACCGTTAGTCTTCTGTGTTTATAAATGCCAAGAATTTCAACATCAGCCAATATTACTGACATGACTTAATGATGATGAGATATTTATTAAAAAAACAAAAATTTAAAAAAATACTAAATATAACGATTAAAAAAATCCAAAAAATTGACATAATTCCTTGGTTTCGTTGAAATAAATAATAAAATTTTAAGAATTTATTCTTATTGTTGTGTTTGATAAATATTTTAACATAATCCCTTAATCCATAGACAAAAAAAACTCACAATTTTGTTAGTCAAAACGGTCAACAAGCTTCAAGGGTTAGAATAAATACCATAAACAACTTCGAATACTAAATTGATGTAAAAAAAGCATACAAGTAAAAATGATTAATTGAGTTTACTACAGGGACAAAAATAATCATTAAACTTAAAATTTTAAAGTTAAAAATATATTATGAATAATTTTATAAAAAAAATAAATTATATTAAAAAATTATCGATTCATTCAATTTATAGCTACGTATCTCGGCGTTTTTACCCAAAAATCACCCTGACAGGTTTTAATTATCTGTTAGACATCGTTTCAAAAAAATTTACCAATCTAGCACCCTTTGCAAAAAGGTGTGGATGATGATCTGCGTCTTACACTGATGTGGCGTCACGTGGGGTAAATTCGAGCCTTTCTGAAATAGGTGCTAAATTCATAAAATGTTTTAAAATGTGTCTAACAAGTAATTAATTTATGTTAGTGTGATTTTTGTGTAAAAACGCCACGAAATATTAAGGAAGTAGCTTTGTTTTGTTTGTTAGAAAAAAGATAAAATTTAATTAGCCAAAAAAATATCATTTCATGTCTTCTAAAAATTAAGTCCTATGACAATAAAGAAAATCTCGTACCTTTCACATTTATTATTTTCTTTAAATAATTATTTTTTTTTATTTTTTAATAAAAATTTTCATTAAATCCTGAAAATGATATAATAAAATATATTTTTTCTTCAATAATATTAATAATAATAATGAAAAATAGTGCCAATAAACTTTGTCTCGTCTCTTGATTTTGTCATTATTTAACCAACATTTTTGTGTTGAATTCATTTTTAAATTTAATTGAGCTTCAAATTTATTCTTATATACGTTGAGATAATATATATATCGAGTATAAAATTCTTATAAATCTATATTTGAATATGTTTTTGATACGCTGATTGAATGGATAATTAGTAAATTCTTATAAACCACAACTGGTTTAAGGGGATGATGCACATTTAAAAGTTCACTAACATGCACTCATTAAATTTTTATTAATGTGTGATGCCAGTAAAAGAATACAAATTAATGACTCAATTATCAAAATAAACGAATTAAAATATAATAATAAAAAATATTTTTTGAAAAATCAATGATTAAAATAAAACATATTAGACACTAATAAAATAGCGTATCCCCTTAAACCAACATTTGTTTATAAGAATTCACTAATTATCCATTCAATCATCGTATCATAAACATATTAAAATATGGATTTATAAATTTTATACTCGATATATATATATTATCTCAACGTATCTAAGAATAACTTTGAAGTTCAATTAAATTTAAAACGTATTCAACACAAAAAGGTTGATTAATAATGACAAAATCAAGAGACGGGGCAAAGTTTATTGTCACTATTTTTCATTATTATTATTATTATTATTATTATTATTGAAGAAAAAAATATTTTATTATCTTATTTCCATGATTTAATGAAAAATTTTATTAAAAAAAGAAACAAAATTATTTGATGAAAATGATAAGTGTGAAAGACACGTGATTTTCTTATTGTCATAGGACTTAATTTTTTAGAAACAAAAATGAAATGATTGGCTAATTAAATTTTATATTTTTCCAACAAACAAAACACAACAACTTCCTTAATATTCTGTGACGTTTTTACATAAAAATCACCCTAACAGAAATTAATTAGGTACCGTTTATTTTTTTTTACATATTTAACACCCATCATAGAAAGGCTCGGATGAT